TTGGGTTTATTGAATTTCTGAATCTCAGAATATCTTGTTTGTCAGATATTTGGGCAGATTAAGCAGTAATGGGATACACAAAAGAAAGATAAATTTCTACAATAACTACTACTACTCTTTTCTAGCACCCTTATCTCCCAGCCCAGCTTCTTCTTATATTGTATTTTCTTTTTACCCTAACTGCATCTGTCCTTGAGGTATGACCTTCCACGATTCTCCCACAAAATTAACTGGAAACCTGGAACTTTTAAGTGTGGAGACAGAATTTTTCATTTTAACAAACTCACCAACTCCCTAACTAGGCTTTAAAATCCCTGACATTAATCTCTTTACCTTCCATTTCTACCATGATCCTAATTACTCTATATCTGTTCACATAAGTGAATGAGCTCTAGCAGGCCCAAGCATGGTGAACATGCCTCTGGCAGGCCTTACCCTCCTCCTCCATTCCCTCTGCCTTCCTAAAAAGCCTTAGATTACATTCCTGAAGCTAGACACCAAGGTCTGTTCCCTTATTTGGCCATTTCTTCTTCCTGAGACTGACTACCAAGGTTCAGCTATCAAAGTATTGAAGTTCAGCAATAAATAGTCCTCTTTGGCTCATCTAACTAACATGCCTAATTAAAATTAAACATCTCATCCTAACTCTGGTTTCCCTTTTAGCCTTTATAAACTGCCATTTGCCTATGGGCCATGTGTGTGTCCCTGTACATATAGGCAGTCCTTTGTCCCTCTGGGGCAAATATCCCTTCACCCTCTCCCTTGCCCCTTTCTTGTCTCCCTCATCCTCTATCTCTTGTCTTTGTCTCTTGTTTCTTGCCCTCTGTCCCTCTGGGGCAAATAAATCTTCTTTGTGCTAAGAACTTGGTTTTGGGATGTCTTTTGCTGATAAGGGTACTTTCAATATGTATAGATGTTTACATTGTTGCACACTTCTATTTACTAATAAGCACTTTATATTAAGTATATACATTGCATACATTTGGTAATAGAATCTGAATTTTAGGCTTGGTGAGAAGACTCAGTGGGTAAAGGTGCTTGCTGCCAAGTTTGATGACCTAACTTCAATCTTAATCTACAGTATTGAAGGAGAGAACCAACTCCCTACAATTTGCCCTTTGATTGTCACATGCACAAATGTATTCTCTTTCTCTCTCTCTCTCTCTCTCTCTCTCTCTCTCTCTCTCTCTGTTTCTCACACACAAACAGTACTGGCCACATGTAAATAAAAGAAACATAACATCATCTTTCAAAAGCTAAAAACAAAGTGGACCTTAAGGATGGGAACTCCTTCATTTTACAGAGGAAACAATGTTGTGAAATGTTTAATTAACAGAGCAGACCCAGCTGTTACCCTTTCAAAGACCTGAATTTAAGGCGTGTTCTCAAGAAAACATCTGGGAAACTCATTTGGGGGAGTTTCCACCATTCCCAGGAACTGACAACACTGTGCCTAACAAACAATATGGCTTGAAGTAAAATCGTGCTTTCTCTTGGGGTGCGGTGGGGGGTCAAGAATTTTATTACATGCCAGGTATGGTGTGCTAATATGACCAGTCTTCAGCAAAAAACAGAGATGAATCTACTTTTGGGCTTCTTTTCTGGCCAATAGTTCACACACAATGTCACATGTCATTAGTCTGGGAATTAAGCATAACCTGTATGGTTGCACAGAAAGAGTTTTGGAAGCTTGCACCTGATTTCTCCTGAACTCTACTGCACGTGTCTTTTTCATTGCTGACTGTATTTGATATCTTGTTGTTATAAAAGATATAACTTGGGGCAAAGAGATGGCTCAGTGGTTAAGAGCGCTGTCTGTTCTTCCAAAGGACCCAAGTTCAATTCCCAGCACCCACGTGGCAGCTCACAACTGTCCGTAATGCTGATTCCAAGGGATCTGATAACCTCACACTAAGGCACAAAAGATGAAAATTAAATAAATTATTTTAAAGACTCATAACCATGTTTTGAAGTATATTGAGCACTATGAGGGCTGGGGCTAATATAGTGAGCTAGCAAAGAACGAACCTCAGCATGGGGAGCTGCAATAGGTCAGTAGTGTCTATAACATTTCTTTCCAGGTAATAGAGACAGCACCAGTGGATAATCAAAACATGTAAACCCTGACATAGTAGCTAAGTTTCATTACTTCCCTGTGTCATTGCTTCTTTGTAACACTGGGCCGATAATATTTACTTTGCAAAAATTTTATAATGATAACACAAGAGGGTCTGTGGGGGTAAACATCCCCTCAGAAGTACTACTGTTTATTTAACCTTTTTGTTTGGATGTAGTGATTGGAAAGAGTCATGTGGATCCGATTTTATCCTTATTCTACTATACACAGCAATAGAAGTAATTGCATGAACTCAAAAGGTCACAGATACATTGGAGTTGGTAAATAGATTGTTTTGCTCAGCATTTGTGTGAAGCATCTCAGAAGGAGAATTGCTTGGAGACCAGGCAAAAAAACGCACATGTTAATATTCATTCTTAGCTCTCAATGGTGATTAGATGTTTGTCTCTTGCTTTGAGCATCCTTAACAATCCACTGATTTCTGGACCCTAATCTTTTTCTAGCTGCCAGTCTGCACTGCTTTACCTTTCTTTGGGTGCTCACTCAGCTGGGTACCTATGCAACCACATGATTTATTCACTCCTGTTCACCTGGTGCTTTCTGAAAGCACACCATCAAAACCGCTCTCTTAAGTATAGCTTTGTCTTTTTAATTTCACTTGCTTTTGTTATTTGCTCAAGAATTGTGTTTTACTTTTGTAGAATCAGAATTGTTAAGCAAATATATTTTCAGTTAGCAGCATCATGCTTGAAAATATATCCTAATACATGAGCAGTTATTCTTTGTGTCCCTACTAACCAGAAGACAATGACATCACTTTTTGGTACTCTCATTGCTTTAAATGAAATAACATAACATCTTCAAACAGAAAATGCTTGAAGATGAGTTGCTGAAATCTCTTTAGCAAGTAAGTCAAATAAGGCAAATTCTCTAGCATATACCAGAAGAGCTTCCATAAAAAATTATCTGGAAAGAGTTGTTTTGTGTCATAAGGGGTTTAGGGGGAGAGTTAGTTTTCTCCATTGATAAAAAAAATATTTATTTAACACAAACATTTTCTATGGATCTATGAGCTAAAGGTGATACAGTCATGTTCGGGATGGTCTGATCCTTGTATTTTGATGCTAATTACTGGCCCTCAAGATCCAGTTACTACCCAGATACAGCTATCTGCCTAAGCCATTACTCCTGATTAAAGGGCCTCAAATTTGGGCAGAGCAGAACGAGGTAGGCATGGCTAAAGTTCCTGGGCTTTGGGAATAGGGGAATCATAGGAAACCAGATAGACAGATGGGAAGAGGGAAGGAAGAAGGATGCCACGATGGGTTAGTGTAGAGAAGGAACCATGTGGGTCAATAGGAAGGACTCTAATAATGGCATGGAAAGGCACGGAATATAAGCAAGTATTTATAAGATTATGGATGGAAGTTAGCCCTTTTTTGAATACCCTTAGAGATAAGGGTGGATAGCATTGGATGGGGACTGTGAGGTAGATGGTGAGGTTATTGAGATAGTGTAGGTGAAAGTATCTGCCCAGCTCAAGGTAAATGAGGTAATTATAAAATATAACAGGTGTCTGTATCTTATTAATTGTGATAGTGGGTTAAATAATACAGCATGATAATCATAGGGTTAATAATAAATATATAGCCCAAAACCATTGTATTTACAAGAATGCAGTCATAAGATTATTCCACAGGAAGTCATAAGATCTACTTTTAACATTTCAATATTATAGAATGAGCTAGAGTCATTTGCTACCTCAGCTTTCTTCTAGCTGAGTGTGAACTACTAGTACTTTCTAATATAGTATTGCTGCCATTGATTTTAACACTTCTCTGGAAGGTGGCTTTGAACCAAATATAGCTTTTCATGTTCTCTTCTCCTAGGTTTTGACTGTAGGTTAATATCCATGGTGACCTTGAAGATTACCTATTGAATATGGTACAGCCATCATTTTGTGCCAGAATATCTAAGTAAAAATGTGTTAATGGTCTGTCATTTTCTTTTACCAATGTTTACTATATTAATACCTTGGCATTTGAGACTCTGTGCTAACACAGGTAGTATGCATGTTTCTGATTATGTTCTGTCACTTTCATGTGTCAATATGTTTGTATTGTTCTTAGGGTTAAATAAGTTAGAATAATACCCATAATTAGTATGCAATAAATTTTAGTGATTCATATTATTGATACAGATGAGTTCCAAGTCATTGCACATGGCAGTTTCCTTGGACTCCCACTTCCATGACTATTAAATGTCAGAGTCACCTTGATAATATTTTTAATTTTATTAAATTTAGAATTTTATAATAAGCCTCAATAAAATTGCTACAAATAGAATGGAGAGATGGTTTGGTGGTTAGGTACACTGCTTGCTTTTCCAGAGGACCCGGGTTCAATTCCCAGCTCCCACATGAAAGCTCACAGCCCTCTAAAATGCCAATCCTGGGTTATCTAATGCCCACTTCTGGCCTCAGAGGACACTAGTCATTTATACTGCACAGACATGCAAGTAGGCAGGCCACCCATACAAATAGATTAGAAAATAAATTGGAAAGAAAAAAACCTCAACCATTGCCCTTGTTAGTTGTGTGTGTGTGTGTGTGTGTGTGTGTGTGTGTGTGTGTGTGTGTGTTGGTAAACATAATAGAAGCTATAGTCAAATGGAAAGAGGAACCTCAACTGATAAAATGACTCCACCAGATTGCCTGTGGGAGCATTTTCTTGATTGTCAATCAATAGAGGAAAACCCAGCTCACTAGGAGAAATGCTAGCCCTGGGCAGGTAGTCCTTGATATACCATCACAAAGGACACTGAGAGAAGAAACCATTATTTAAGGAGAAGCATCATCTTCTTTTTTAAAATGAACCCAGCAGAATTTGAAATAACATTTGGAAAGAAGAAAGGTTTTACAAACCGAGCTGTGTCTGTGAGACTTTCATTCACACCCAAATGAATGTCTTGTGTGGTAAGAAAACAAGGGTGTCCTCCAAGAAGAGCAAAGCCTGCAATAAAAGAAAAAGAAAGTATTTTGGGGAAAAAATACCAAAAGTGCAAAACAAAATTATGAAGCATTGGCACTAGTACCATCTCAATAGGAAAGTTTCCAACTCAAAACTTGTTTCAGAATATTTGATCCCACTGTGAACCCCGAGATTGTCAACTAGAAAAACCTGTAATTGCCAAGCATAGCAAAATGATAAATCGATTGATGAGTATGGAATATTGTGCAAAAACATACTTAACTTTCTTTCAAATGCATGTTTATTTCCCTTCCCCCCTTTTCTTTTCAAGAGCTCTTTGGAGAGGTATGCCTACTTGAAGTTATAGCAAGTTATCCTCCTAGGGGACAGAGAAATAAACTAGAATTTTATGGGATATGCTGGATTATAGTGGGATATTAATCAGAAATTAAAAAAATGAATCTTCAAAAACACTATGCTAAATGAACGAGTAGATATTTGGTATAATAAAATATCTAGGAGTAAGTATCTGAAGAAGAAGAAATTAAAATATCTGTTGCTGCAGCATGGGAAAGTGTGATTGAAAGGGGGCATAAAGGTATTTTCTGTGTTAATTGAAGTATTTTACATCTTCATAGAGCTTATAGGCTCTATAGACATGTGCATCTGTCAGCACTGAATGGCACACTTAATATCTTCATTTTTCTATACATAAATTATACTGTAAGTTTTTAAAGTTTGCAAAAAATAAATAAACCAAGTGCTTAGATGGTAGTTTCAAGTCACTAAGAGATAAAGTGTTACTGCCCTTCATCTTCTAATGAAGGCAAAGCTAAGTACCAAATGGAATACTGCCCTCACTGCTTTTTCACAGTCTTTGCATGTTTAGAGCATTACACATAACTGAACACAGGAGCGCAGATCTTGCTCTTTTCCTACAACACATTCTATTTATAGGGTGAAGAGGAGTAGACACACAGGAGCCAGCCCCAAGCCACAGTTAAACTCTATGAGGACAACAAGCAGAGTCTTTTGACACAGGATCTGAGGTAAATTTGTAGGAGATGATGACAGCTGACCAGGACTTTATCATCACATTTGAGGGAAAGTTCATGGGCAGAATTACTCCAGTATATTATGAAAGGCAAAGAAGCATGATTTCAAGATAAATACTTGTCTGAAGTATGGTGCAAACTTACTTTGCCCTTCATATTGTAATGTGTCAGATTTATGTCCTGGAAAACATATAATTTTCTAATCCCATTTGTTTGGGGGATTTACTTTGTAGGAAGGAAATGATTAATCACCCAGAAAATTGTGTGAAGAATTCTGGATCTACAAATGGAAGTTTGATAAATATTTCCTGAAACTCCTCACTGATGTAAGAACACAATTTGAATAATAATATTTTAATGGGGACTATTTCCTGGGTGGATTTTTAAAAAATAATTTGACACAAGCTAAGGTCTTCTGGGAAGAAGGAACTTCAGTTGGAAAAAAATGCCTCAATTAGATTGGGTTGTAGGCAGTTTTGTAGGGCATTTTTTAAAGTTAGTTATTGATTCAGGAGGGCCCAGCCTACTGTGCATAGTGCCATCCCTGGGCTGGTGATCCTGGGTTCTATAAGAGAGTAGGCTAAGGAAGCCTGGAGTTGTAAGCCAGTAAGCAGCACCCCTCCATGGCCTCTGCATCAGCCATGATTTTTGCCTCAAGGTCCTGATTTTTGCCTCAAGGTCCTGACCTGACTTCATTTTATGATGGATTGTGACCTGAGAGTTCTAATTAATATGAAATAAGCCATTTCCATCCAAAGACGTTTTTCGATATAGTCTTCACAGAGCAATAGAAACCCAAACCAGGAGTGTTATTAAATGTTATTTAAGGAATCATTTTGTTAAGGTTATTTCAGCTACTGAGGAAAATCATTTAAAGAATAATGTAAAGGAATGTTTGGGAGGGGGATAAAACATCATAGTTTTAATTTACATTAAAATAGTTTAGCAAAGAGAAGAAATAGACAAGGCAGACAATAAAGTAACAATTGTGAGATTGATATAAGGAGTACTGTGTGTTCCTTATGCTAATCTTTCTACTTTTGTATTTACCAAAATCTTCTATTATAAAAAACTAAACATTAAAAGCTACAATAACCATTGTTTGTGTTGCTCTGTCATTGTACTAGAAGCCAGTGTGTCCTGAATCTTACAATACAAATCAAGAGCACTTACTGCCACTTTATACCCCTGTCTCTATTGCTTATCCTCAAAACAGTCTAGTAGATGCTATTGTACGAATTATAGAAAATATACCTTATATTCTAGTGATGAGAGACTTATTATAAAGTTGAGTGAGTACCAGGTTATATACTGATAAGTGTTATAAAAGTTGAGTAAGAAAGGGTGACAGGAACTATAAGACCAGAATTACCATTTTAAGTGCCATAGTCACTGAAGCCACATTGATTGTAGTGTTAGAATGAAAGCTGAGGAATATGTGAGTGTGAACCATGAGAAACATACAAGACTGAGGAAGAGTAGTTGTTTATCTTGTGTAAGGGTCATAACTGGTCCATTTAAAGGATTTAAGATTTAAGAAGTAGCAGGGAGGCTGAAAAAGGAAGGTGGGGACTAAAAGGAAAGTGATTTGAATGATTGACATATACATACTTTGAAGATAGCAGCGGTATGTAAATGTTGAGCCTATTTCCTGCCTCAATGAGCATGTTACAGACATCATAGAACTTCCATGTTCCTCAACCTCACTCTATTTGCCAGCATCTGTATCCACGTATTCTGCATTATTTACCAATAATCATAGATGAGCGTCTCATCTCTTGAGTTTCCATGTCTCTTCCTACTGTCTTATTGAAATGCCAATTCTTTAGAGCTTTACTCAAAGTGCTTAACAATCCATGTGTCATTTTTGCCTCATATTTTCATCAATACACTAGAAGTCAACTCATTTTGACTGTTCATACACATTATCAATTCTTTAATTCTTATGTCATAATCTTTAAGAACTATACCTAATAATTAATAAAAAACAAATTTTTCTTGGAACTACATTCACTTTCAAGTACTATTTTAATTCTTTTCTCCTCTTTAATAGGTCCCCTTCTCTTTTTTCTCTTCTCATTCCATCAAACTCTGTAAAGCTTCGCTAACCATCACTGCAGCAAAACTCTTTTCATTAACATTATCATGACCTACATGTTATTTCATATTTTTGCCCCGATTTCTTCTCAGTTTCTTTAACAAAACAATGCATCAGTCTCTCCTTAATAAACTCCAGGATATATAAACTCACACCTTCTTGGTTTTATATCCACCCTGGTAATTATTTATTCTTGGCCTTGATTTCTAGTTTTTACTAATTTCCTTGACTTCTAAACATTGAAGCATTCCAGGGTCAATTCTTGGTCCTCTTATCTCAATCTGTATTCACTGTATCAAGTTCTATGGATTCAAATAATATCTCTATGATAATGACCCTTAAACATCTGTATTCCAGGTCTTACGCTTAAACTCCAGACTCATATTCAAGTTCACTTTCAACATCTTTCTTTTTATGTCTGACAGACATCTCAAACTTTATACACACAAAATGAAGGTCTATTTGTTCCCTTTCATCATATTCCACCTGCATCTTTCATGATTGCTCAGGCAAAAATCTTGAAGTCATCCTTGATGTCAATGTTTTGGCAAGTCGATTTATCCTCTGGATCTCCTTTCAATGAGTATTTAGAATCTGTCCCTCCTAGCTTTCTCATTACTCTCACACTGGTTCTAGCCTTCCTCTCTCTCCAGCTCTCACCACACTGATACATTTGACAGCTTTTTGTCTTGCTTCCATACTTCTTACACCCACAGTCTATTTTTAACAGATTAGTCACAGTAAGTTATAAAAGGCAGCTTCAATTATGCTCCATCTTTCCCTAAAACTCTTAGGTGATTTTTCTATTTCATTCAGGGTAAAATACAAACTCCAATAATATCGCAAACTTTTCCTCTTCATCATTCTCTGTGCTGAAAGTATGAATTTTCATTCAACATACTTTATCACCCACATATTTATTGTGTCTATTTCTTGTGGTCTCTGTATCTACTAGAACGTTCATGAGGGCAGAGGATTTCCTGTTTTGTATATTGTTAAGTGAGTCACAAACATTTAATATAAAGGTGTCAAATAGTAAGTGTATCAAGAATATTAGTTGAATGCCTGAAAGAAGGAAGGAAGAATGTTGACTCTGGAGAGAGGTTACACTCCCCAAACTAATAAGCTCTTACTCTTCATATCTTCATCAAACATCTCCATAGTGTTAATGGAAAGAACAGAAACTTCTTATCCATGAAGTCATCTACTAAAGGTCAGTGATGATTGTAAATGATAATTGCTCCTGAGCACTAAATTTTCATGTAAACATGCAAAGTTAACTAAACAAATTTGAATTCTGAATATTCATCAAGAAAATATTTATTGTGCCTCTCTACCATATGCCATGAAAAATGATAAGCACTACTGAGGGTTGTGACTCTGAATAAAGAGGGCAAAGAAAATCCAATGACACTTAAAGGAGAGCTCATTTGGTAGAGTGCTCACCTTGCAAGCATGAAGACCTCAATTCAATGCCCACAACCTAAGTAAAAAAAAAAAAAAAATGGACTCGGTTGTATGTGTTTATAATCCCAGTGCTGGGCAGGTGAAACAAGTAGGTCAGCAAAATGGTTGGTTTCATAAAAACAAACAGACAAAAAAGGGTGAAGAATGATACCCAATGTTATCTTGTGCCTTGTATCATCCACATATATATACACATGCACTCATTCACACACAGACATCTAAACACATGGTAAACACACACATACATACACAAAAGAAAGTTTAATACTGCTTGCCATGTCTGATCTACCTTATATGGCATCAGGTAGAATTCATTCTGCCACAGCAACATGGGACTAATCTGATGTCCTTACACTTCCATTTTTGTGCTACAATGTAGATTCATAGCCAATGTGAATGTGGGTGACAGAGTAGGAAGAAGGGGTCACAGGAAGCATTCTTAAGGAGTCTAGGATTTTAGCAGCTCATGAAAGTGAGCAAAGATGTGAGATCTGCCTTAGTTAGGGTTTTTATTGTTGTGATAAAACACAATGACAATAAAAAACCTGGGGAAAGAATTTATTTCATCAGAGAACTCACAGGCCACAGTCCTTTGCTAAAGGAAGTTGAGGCAGAAACTCAAACAGGGCAGGAACCTAAAGGCAGGAGCTGATACAGAGAAGATGGGGAACACTCCTTATTGACTTGCTCAGCCTGCTTTCTTATAGCTCCCAGGACTACCAGCCCAGAGTTGGCACCACTCCCACTGAGCTGGACCCTCCTGTATCAATCATTAATCAAGAAAATGTTCTACTGTATTGTATACAGGCAAGTGTTATGGAGACATTTTCTCAATTGAGATTCCCTTTCCCCAGAAGAGAACCCCAATTTTTGTATTTGTGTCTTTGGAAAATTGATGAATTTGAAACAGCTGCTGCAGTACCAACTTTCAATTTCACTTTGAAAGTGACATGGCCATGTTAAATACAAGAAAGGACCATTACGTTGAATTTCCTGTGCATTCTTCTATCAGCTACTGCATTTACTAAAATTAAAAAATGTATCTGTCTATCAGCCCAATTAATTTGCAATAAAAGGACACAATTGCCAGTAGATACACAGAGGAATTGCCTGGTTTACCAGGGAGGCATACATTGCGGGATGTGGAATGAATGATCTAAAACTACACACAGAGACATAGACATTATCTTACAAACATAATTCAGAGCAAAGAAGTCAGACACAAAAGAGCACATGTTGAATGGTTTCTTTAATATAAGGTTGAAAACAGGCAGAGCTACTCTGTGCTAGTAAAATCCTAGATAATGGTTACCCTTGTGTGGATGCATAGCAGCCTGAAGAAAAAGCAGGGATGATGCAAAGGATTTCTGAGTACTGTTAACATTCTGCTTTCTTGGGTATTTATTACAACCATGTCGGTGTTGTAAAAATCAATTCAACTATCATAAACTAGATAATACAAATGCACTGCCCTGTAAGTTTGTTAGACTTTAATATACATGTTTCATAAATTATTAATGTGGGTAGATAACCATGTTCTATTTCCCAAGATAAGTAAATGTTGCTGGATTCCTGAATCTCAGGCTTAAGATGGAATCCTCAAGGACTATACTATAAGAATCAGCCCGTCCCGTGTATGGTAAAAAAACAGTATCACAATAATAGACAATTAGACAATCTATTTTCATTCTAAATACCAAAGACATATGTTGTATCTATTGAAAAATATACCAAAGGACAACCATTATTATGCACATGCAAAGGTGGGGATGCAATGCTTTGAAAAAGTGTACAACCAAGATCCGAGTGTCTATCCCCCACTGTGCATATTTACACAGCAGAACTGTTTTGTCTTGGCTTTGATTGGGTTTTGTCATTTCTGTAAGCACTTAAGGCAGCTTTTCATTCTGATTTGTCTATTACTGAATTTGGTTGGCAGCAGGCCATGTCCAATTAAGTCCGTGGGGATTTGCTGACAATAATGACAAATACTCTGTGACCTATGAATTTTAAAGGCCAAATATTCCTGTCCCCATGCATTTGATGATAGAGTTTGCAATTTTGTTTTAGAGTGCTTCTCTACAGACAATTGTTATCTAACAAAGTGCTTAGTGCTATTTGTGATAAAAGTTTCACTAGAATAACCTGGGACTATCTCATGCTTCGATTCACCTCGATATTCTTAAAGATACAATTAATAACAGCATCCAATCATATGTCTGCCATACGTTAGCTATGCATACTTGGACCATTTCCTGAACATGGTTTATGTGGTTTACTCCATTTTACTTTCATAGCATTGTCATGAGGATGGAGTGAGATGATCTATGTAATTAATATAGATCACTTTTCACAGAGTCTTCATCAAAAACTGCATTATAGCCTCATTCTTGCCTTTACTGATAGCTCTGGTACATCATTATGAAGAAAACTGTTCAGGGATATTTCAGTATCAAGCATAATATTTAAACAGAGGTAATTGTAGAATAACTAAAACATATTCACTTAAAAATTAGAAATTGAAAACTTTCTATATACTAATTGTTTTGGTAGTTTGGAAAAAGACTACCTCTCTAAAGTAAACTGAAACATTTTAAAAGATACAATAAAATTCTGTCAGAATCATGGAAGATTAGTGTTGGAAGAAAACAAATTTTAAGAATTAATGACAGTTTTTTTTTTCTCCCCACTATCCTACTATTGCTCAGATGCCAAAGAGATGTCTTGCAGGAGCCAGATTTAAAGAGAAGAATAGAGCCATCTGTTGTTTCCTTCCTAGGACTTCTAAGATCAGGTGACACCTTACATATTGTCCCTCTTCCTGTTTCCTTCTCTCAAGGGACAAAGGAAGCATTTTAATAAGAAAAGAGGTCTTGAGATCCAAAACTTGGTTCTATTTTTACTGAGTGAACTTAAAGGTCATCTAATCCTTAAAGAATCAATCTTTCTTTCTTTCTTTCTTTCTTTCTTTCTTTCTTTCTTTCTTTCT